GGCGGAGGCACCGAGCGGCCCCGAGCGGCCCCGGCCTCCCGGGAGGCACCGCCGAAACAGAGACCGGGGACACGAATGCGCACTCGGAACCGCTCCCGCGCGGCTGGGAGGCAGAGGAAAGATGGGCGGCCCTGAGCAACGCTGAACACACATACGGAGTTATAACGTGTGCTTGAAACACGGGGGGCAAATAACGGTCCTGAGCAATTCCCGCCAGTTCCTGGCTCTGCACAGCCCTCGCTGCCAGGGCACGCGGCAGCCGCCAGCCGGACGGCGCCGCGAGCACCGAGGGCCCTGGGCACCCCTTCCCGTTCCCTTCCTTTCCCCAGCCACGAGTTTCGGCTCAGGTAGATTCGTATGTTATTTAGTTCCTGTTTTGATCAGAAAAACATGAATGTTTTCCCATTCACCACGGGTCTCAGAAGATTTCCCAGGGATTTTTTTCCCATGTTGTCTTGCTGCAGGTGTAACAGACCTTGAGCAAGAGGACGCGGCCAGGATCAGTGGGGCCATTAGCTCTGCGGGGGGAACCATTCAAATTCATACAGGCAATTGCACTCAGAAAACGTTTGGCGTTTTCTCTAACATACAGTGAAAGAACACCGGGATCACGCCGCCGTTTTCAGCCGGGCATGGCTGTGTCCGTTCTTCCCAAACACACAATTTACAATGTCTCTTTGCTCTGACTGCGCATTACCAAAGGCAGCAACAGGCCACGACGTGGATGAATTCTGTGCATGTTTGTTCTGCCCATCCAGGCTGCCTGAATTAAAAACCGAACTGAAGACACTAATGCAGAGCAATGAAAGAAAAATACCAGATAAGAAAAATATCACTTCCTTTAGCAATATCATTAGCTAAACGTCAAACAGAGTAATACTCAACATGTTTGAGAGCTTTTTTACGAGGGGAATGTCTGGCTGAGGTGATCCTCACTAGTGTTTTCACTGTATATTCGTTTTCTTACTTCACCTTCCTCCTCCTTAGTCCAAGCTCTGTTTTTACAGGAGTAGCTTCCCACAGTAAGCTAGCTAACAACATGCACTAAAGCCTTTCTACAAATCTCCTATTTATGAGAACACTGTTTCTTAAATAAAATTTTTATAACTAACTCCTTTGTTTCCTAACAGGCTGATGCAAGAATAATTCAACTAATTTCACTTCAGATCCACAGTTAAAAAGCAAATGTAAGTTTTGAAAGAATGCCAGCCTGCAAATGTTACGGATTTACCCGGAACACTCTGACATCAAATGTTTAATAATTGAAAAGGTATTGTGAATTTTTTTCTTCCTGTACCACTGGGTTACAGAAGGATTCACATTCAGTACAAAGACTGAGTCTATGTGATCAGCTCAGTCGTTTTTTGTGTCACAAGAGCGAGAATCTAACGCTCGTATCGCAGTCGGTTAGCTGGAAAGCCGGGTAGGATGCCACGAAACAGAACGGTGATGATGCCAGCACCACCACTCGTGTGCACCACTGTGTGGGAGGCTGACACACAGTCTCGAAAAAAATGTGTTCAGGGAAAGGAGCACTGGAAGAAGTGCTTTATTCTGATTATATTTGTTCTGTAAAAATGAATTAGCATTACTCATTTTTCACCACAAAAACTGGTTGTGTTCAAAAATAACAACAGAGTGGCTCTGTCATATTAACGCCTTTATTGCACTCTATGCACTGGTCCCGCTCACCCTCTGCAGTTGCAGGTCTCTCAGTGCCTGGTGCAACTGAGCAGGCGATGGGGCAGAGCCCGACTGCTCCTCTCGCACGGGATAGCCCAGGAGGGCAGGGAGCAGCTCTCTGATCCTCTAAAACACTCCTCTGCAGGTGCACAGGGTAGTGCCAGAGCTGCCAAAGAATTCTGTGTGCAAAAACTCCTGGTTCCAGCAAATCCTCCAGCAATCTGAATGGAGCCACGATCCGTGTGGTGCTGATACCACTCCCGAGCCACAGGATTAACTTACTTATAATCAGCAGAAATGAAAGAAAGAACGTTAAAGGCATAACATAAAAACCCCATCTGCTCTAGCTGATGCACCACCAAGCAACGGGCCGTGCAAGCCACTTGAGACCCGTTTCACTCTTGAGAGGCCCTTTGGATAAACCAATTTTAAAGGAAGCAAAAAGAAAAAGCAAAGCAAAATCCACAGTATATCCGCTTTCTTCTAGAATTAAATGAACGTGTTTCCCTTCCATAAATAGGAATTAAATGAAGTCAAATGGAGACTGTTTTTTCCACAGCTAAACCAAAATAGATTTCCAATGCTCCCTTCCCCAGCGTGTTTACTCTGCGAAGTGCCTGACGCGGAAGCAAAGCCACGCGCTGAGAAAAAGCGTTTCACTCACCCCTTGGTCAGTGTTGCTATGCCAACGTCCGTCAGCTTCATTCCTACACCTGCAAGGCAGCAAAGAGAGAGAGAGCTGGCATTACACTAGCATTCCAAGAATGTCTTCAGATTTAAGAGCCATAGACAGGGATACCAAAATACTTATTGATTTGTGGTTTTCATTTTAATCATCACCATTTTCACAGAATATTTTAATGTATCTCAATTAAAAATAGGATATTTGTGCTCTATATCACTAACAATTTCTAGAAGTCAATCTCATTAAGTTACAGAGAGCAAGGTGATAAAGAGAGCAAAATATGTCCTCTGTGCTGGACAGTCCTGGTGGGGATGCTTATCAATGGCTGCATTTTAACAGAGCCTCCATAATCTTTGTATATGCCAGTGATGGGTACAATTATTTATGGGTTTTGTGGTTTACCTGCTTTGAAAACTTGGACCACTATATATATCAATGAGAGAGTCTGCTTTGCTGCTCAGCCTGATTAATCAACCTTTGATTTACTCTTCTGGGGGAAGATTTGAAAACATTCTGCACTGCGTGTTCCCAAACACCTCTGTTTTCTTCAGCTTGTCCCTTTATGCATTTGCTTTCATAGCAAAAGTCAGTCCTGTGGTGTGTGTTTTTTTTCTGTTCAGAAACACCATTGTTCTTGTGACGATCCCCCAAGCAGTCTCACACAGGGTGCCTGCAGGACGCGGCCGGGTGCTCGAGGGTGGTGGGAGGAGGAGCGCGTCCCGCAGCCGCACGGGAGCCCCGGGCCGGGCCGCGGGGCCGCCGGGGCCGCCGCGCTCCTCTCCTCCTCCCTCCTCGTCACGCCAGGTGCCGCTTTCCTTTGAAAAAACGGCTTTTCAATAGGCAGCTTTAGCCAGTCACTCACTTAATAAGGGGACATTCGAGGGCCTTCCCGCCCGCGCCGCGGCAGGGATGCTCGCTGCCCCCCTCGCACCTCACCTTGCAGGTCCGTGACGAGCAAGCTCCCGTTGGTCCTCTCGTACACCCAGTGCTGGAAGGTGCAGCACTTCTGGCCGGCCTCCGAGTCTCTCCTCAGGAAATTGATCTCCTTGCCGTCCTTGACGGAGTACTTCACAAACTCCCCGACCAGCTCCTCCTCCACTGTGGCATAGGGGATGTTATTTGCAGGGCGATGGACAAGAAAAATAGGAATGATCCTGAAATCAAGGGATAAAAACTCCTAAACCCCACTGAGCTCTGTCAACAAAGAAGCAAGAATGAGACAGCTCGGCCAGTGATCCCAGAGACTGCACAGTTACTAAGATCTTCTAGGTGGCTCCAGAATATAATCACCTTCTGTTTTATGTCTTATTTATTTGTATTATTTAGTCATGTCTAAACCTACATTTCTCAGAGTGTGATTTCTAACACTGTCATAGTATGTTCCCAAACGTATGCACGATACAGGTCGCTTACTTATTTTTGAGTATTAATTGCTTACAGTTTTAACTGCTCTGTATATGACTCAGGCCTTCCGAGTTTTTAGGCACCTGCAAATATCATCCACTGCAGAAAAAGCTTTGCCTGAGACAGGTCTAAATGGAGGATTTTACTGAAAATACGAAACAACTACTTTGTAAGTATGTAAGAGGAAACAAAAAGGCCTCTGAAGAGATCACAAGGATTCTCACAACCACCTGGCTAAGGGAAGATCTGGAATATGAAGATTCTGGAACTCTGTCAATTTTTGGATCCAGGTTAGAAGACTTCAGATAATTCTGAACGAAACTTTCAGACAACTTCAAATTGGACAAAATTTACCTGCTTTCTTCACTTACTTAGAAATTGAGCTAGTCCATCCAGAAAGACTTGGAAAGTTTTCTAGGAATCTAGGCTAGGCCCATTTATGTGTAAAGATGCACCATGCCAAAAACGTATATCCAAAGTCAAATAAAAGAGCGTGAGTTTTGCTTAGAGTTTCAGGGTGTACCCTGAGATAACGTGACGCGAGGATGTCAACGTCACCGGTCCCCCAGGTACCGGGTGGCCGGCAGCACGGGCTCCGTGGGGAGCAGGACTCCAGCCGCCCGGAAGGCAGGGGCTGCCTCGGGCAGGCTCCTTTTCATCCTCACACTGGAGTCACTCGCCGGGCAGCGTGGACGCTACCGGATAAATCTCCCAAGTGAAAACCCTACATGTAATAATGAAAGCAGTGACATCAGTGCACATGAGCAGAATTAAATGCTGCCCTAGATGATGTCGTTTGGAAAGCGGCCTGTCCCCTGGGCTTTGTCACAGACCATGGCTGTATCGTGGCAGCCACTCACAGAAGCTCCTGAGCGGCCTCAGAGCAAGGGGCAGAAGTGCCCGTCACCACTGCTGCAGGAACCAGGCTTCCCGTTCCTCTTTCCTTGCGACCAGCCTTCGCTCCTGCAGCCGCACGGCCGGCGGGGGGCACGGTCAGTGCCAGGGACACACGGACACACGGGCACCAGCGAGGCGCTCCGCAGACAGCAGCCACGAACGAGCAGGGGGGCCGTCCTGCACTTACGGGGTGTCTAGATTGAGCCATGGACGCAGAGCCATGTGTGACCCCAACATGCATGAGCCATGTATGACCCCAGCACTTCCAGCCTCTTCCACAGAGCAGCTTTACGGGCATCATCAGGCCGTTCACGGCCGCAGTATTGCCCCGCTGTGCTCCCAGCAGACACCGTTAACGCTGCTAACCAAGGCCGTTAGGGCAGCAGAGCTTTTCTAAGCAGCAACCAGCACAAGTCTTGGCGCTTGTCTACTACTAAACTAACCTGCCCGTTCAAGGGATGGTACCGCCTTAGCTCTACCAGTACCATTCATTATCAGACAAAGCTTCGTATTGCCTTTATGAGCACCCACAGGAAAAAGAGGGGCCATGGGTTAATAAGGGTGTTATGGTGCTCCCCTGCGGAAATCCAACAGTAACTCCAAGACCACAGAATCTCCCTGTGTCCCTTCTCCCTCTTCACAAATGTCTAGCTGCCATGACTCTATTAGAGCTCAGTGCTTTCCTTCCCTTATCCTTCTTGTATAGTCAAAAATGAGCAGATAGCCTAGGGAAGCAGCATTAAAATTAGCACTTGAGAATGTGGAGAGCCTTTCTCTTGCTCGGGAAAGCCTCTGTATTTCCCTCATAAAATGTTGCAAGGAATATACCTTCTTTTAAATATAGTTTTGCTCTGACAAGGAGTGGATAGAAAAAGGAATCCTGCCTTGAAGTGCTGAAGCTCAGAGGCCAGGCAGGCCGTGTCCACACACCGCTGCCGGGACGGAGCGAGCAGCTCCGCAGCCTCCCCGCGCTGCCCGGGGCTGCCCGGGGCCCCGGCCTCCTGCCTGCCTCCCGCTGCGCCCCGCTCCGCCCTCGGGAGCACAGGGACATCCTGTCCGCACACAGACCTCGCACACAGGAAATTGGCAGAAAGCAACATATTTCCAGAAGGAAGCCTGACTTCCAAAAATGGTTACCTAAAATAATTCACCACGTCTCTGCCACTATTTCCAGTTCTGAACAGGTTTCTTTAAGGAAACATTCTGGAGGCTGAATTTTAAGTGCTGCTGACATGACTTACTTGGAAAATCTTTATAAGCATCAGCTGTAGAAGCAGCCCACATTTTACTGCATAATTACAAAGCTCCCACTGAGAAATCCTGTGAAACGCCATTCTGGGAATACTGTGCCCCTGAGAACCCCTGTGTGTGAACTCCTTTCTTGCTATTGCCTCTCTCCTCTCGCGAACCCTGTGTCACCAAAGTGCCAACATTACCGAGGAGCCGCGCAGCACACGGAGCGGCCGTGCGGAGCGTGCCCAGCGCGCACAGCGCATCCCGGCGGAACCGCCTGCCTCCTCCCTCTGCTGCTGCGCCAAATGGCTGCCGCGGAGGGCCATGGATATGAATTCTCCTAAGTAGCAAAGACGGGAAGATATGGTGCAGAAAAGAAAAGCATGTGCTGTATTTGATTAGCAAAAGCCTAGTTTAGCCTTTTGCAGTTTGCGTCAAGGCATTAAAATATTTAACCGTGGAGAGGCTCCCCAGGACAACTGACTAGCACTTCCTAGAGAGGCTGCTGGGAACAGTTGCTTCTAACCTTATTCCAGTGATAGAGCACAGCTGAGGAGATCTTGTGTCATCCAGAGGAGATGGAGATTTAGTCTGCTGTCAAGCATGTAGGTCTTACCCGTGAAGCAAGGCAGGAGGAATTTCAATCATCCTTTGCAAATTCAACTCTGCACAGTAGCCTGACACCAGAACAGCAAATCCTTTGAAAAAGATCCCTTACCAAACCCTCGAGGCGTCACTTCCCAGCCTCGGGGGCAGAGGTGAGACTACACTCAGCTACTGGCCTATGTACTCGTATGTGAGAAACGGAAGACCTCTGATACGAAACAAAACAATCTTTTGGACAATCCAGAACCAGAGCCAAGCTTTTTGGCTTACGCCTTTCCTGGTAAGAAAACTTGCCTAAGAAGTGATTCATACCAACTTCAGAAGCAGCACGATTTCCCTCAAGACTTTTTTTTTAATGGAAATTTGAAAGGCCTGACTTATCTCCTACCTAGGTGATACCTATCCTTGGTGATGCTATTAGTATCTGTTCTTACTTTAATATGAATAATTTACTCTCAACATATATCAAAATCAGGACTTTTGCTCCTACATCTCTGCTACTTACTCTTCACTGCTCTTTCTCTTTTTCTAATACAAATGGATTTGCTCTTCTCTAGAAATCAGTCCTGGCAGGTGTGCCAAGGATAGCATATACATATATATAACACATATGTAGATACATGTGTGTGTGTGTACATATACTCACTCCGGTACTTCCCCAAAGCCTTCCAAAGGTTCAGCTTCTGCTGCATATATCTTCGCATACTCTCTTGCCGTATTTTGGACATGGCATTCCTACATTCAAACAGACATGCCTATGGAATATTACTGCAAACATTTAGCGGATCAGCTGCTGGGACATTTGAGAGCCAGCTCTTCCCCACGGCGCGCGGCGAGCAGGGGCCCCTTACCTGCAGCGCCAGCTTGTAGTTCTTCTGCACCAGGTCGTCCTTGCTCCTGGCGCCGTACATGATGGCGCTGTGCACCTTGAGCACGCAGGGGTGGCCGGGGCCGAAGAGCGGCACGAGGCCGCGCAGCACCCTGCTGCGGAAGGCCTTGCGGTGCATGCCCTCCCCGAAGTGCAGCTCCTCCGTGGCGATCGCGCCGCGCAGGTTCCCACCAAAATAGCTATCGCTGATGGAATCCTCCCGAAACATGAGCTGCATGAATTCGATTTCTTCCAGACCTAAAACACAAGGCCACTCTGTCCTGGACCGTCCTTCCCTGGCAAAGGGGTGGACACAGGAGGATAACTCATTTCTCCATTGAGGATTAATGAGCAGGCTTTCAGGAAATGCAGCACTTGTGTCAGGATAGTGCTGAGATTCTGCCCTCTCCACGAGGCTGTTTGTCTGTATTGCCTAAAGTCAGCATGGAGAAATGGGACAGTTCATGTTCATATAGCAAGAATACAGAAAAAAATGGAGGAAAAGGTCACAAAAACTGTTCTAGAAGCTATTAATGCCAGTGTAAACTGGAGCTTCAAATGAATGTGAAGCTGACTGACAGCTAGTGAGAACTGAGGGAATAGAGATCATCCCAACCGTGTTTTTGGGAAGACAGAAACAGTAATAAATGTGCAGCAGTGTGTGCAGATATGAATCTAGGAGTGAAATACAGCTCTGCGACCAATTTGCACAAGGTAATTTCGGAAAGCTCCTCTGCAGCTCCCCTGGCCGCTGAGACCGCCGGAGCTCGTTTCAGCTTTCGGCTTGGAAGCCCTTCAGGGAGCGGTGCTGCCAACGTGTGTTTTTAAAGGCACTCGGCTGAGCGCCGGGTCCTCACCCAGCGCTGCAGAACGCAAACGCGTCCCCCAGCGCGCCCTGCGCGCGCCAGAGCAGCTCCGGGGCCGCAGACCTGCACCGGGAATGCTCCTCTCGCCGCAGTCTGCCAAGCACCAGCTTAAGCACAGAGTCATTAGAAAAGGCAGAAGAAAAAATTAAGATTTTAATTTTGTATGTGATTTTCAATCAGAACCACATTTCTATAAATTACCATGCCGAATTCATTCATACAGCAACCTCATAAATTTGAAGTATCTTTAAATTGTTGATAATATTCTCCTGTAAGCTTTTTCTAATCCCTACACATGGGTTTTTAAGGTACCACTATCATATGCATGTGTGGCTAAGGTTGTCACAGCTGAAATAAAGTAAAATTATGGATTTCACAACTTCAAATTATGACTGAAATATGAATGGACCAAAAATAAAGGGATGAAAAAAGTAGTTAAGTGCTGAGAGAAAAATGAACTAAAAATTGCAACCGCATTTCAAGTCTTCTTCCTTTAAAGTCATCTTCCAAACTTCAAAGGAAAAGATAAGCAGGAACAGTAAAGGTGTACATCACACAATAATGAATTCTTTTCACTTCCCTTTCATAGTAATCTCTGGTTTAGACTACATAAATGACTCTCTTTGAAGCACAGAGCAAACAGCTCAAGTAAATGCTGGAATTAGAACACTCTCTACTTCCACCTACAATTCACTGTTGATCAAAAGTTACACAGTGCTGCTAAGTGCAAAGTCCTGTCTATTTTAAAGATGAACTAAATGTTTCATTTTATTCTTGAAGAAAACGAAAGAAGAATCCGTTGGCTGAATGAAGCGCTTGGCAAGTACAGCGTGTTCAGAAACGATAAACCAGCGTGCAGGGCGCTATCTTTAGCCGCAGCAGCGCAGACGCGCGGGGCGTGCTGCGGACGAGCTCGCAGCGGCGGCGTTCCCGGCGCCGCGTGGGCCCCTCCGCGGAGCGCAGGGACGCGGGGACACCGCGCAGTGCCGCGGGGCCCGCGCGCGGCAGGGACGTCCCCCCGGCGCCGCGCAGCGCCGATGCAGCCTGCTCAAACCCGCAGCCTGCTCCAGCAGGCACAACGGAGCCGTCCTGCACAAACGCGTTTCGCCTGGGAAACCCTCATGGAGGAGAAGGGAGTGTTGTCTTTGATGGCACAGTAAAGCTTAGTGCAAAAAGGGAAGGATATCTAGGAAAAACACAGCATTGATTGGACAGCCCTGAGGGATTCACATAGTTTCCCTTGGGGTAATTGTGAAAAGGTCACCGAGCTTGTAGCCAGTCAATCTTTGAGGCATTCCCATCATTAGGCTTGTGCTTGTAAACAAAATGTGATGAGATACTACAGCTGTAATGCCGAGGTGGATATCTCCATGATTTATAGACGTTAAAAATCCAAACCCAGATCTGAAACAAACTCAGTATTTCTTAAGCAGCTCTCCACCCTTGAAGCTTATAATTTGATTAAAGTATAAATGCACATCATGTAGACACAGAAAAAGACTCGTGTTTTCAGAACTGCCTGGAAATGTAGCAGCTGCTAAAACATGTGGTTCTACTGCACCTGGCTGCATGAAAAACAGTGTAATAAATGCAGAGCATTGCGAGGGCAATGCCAGCTTTGTGAGTGCATAGATTTCATTTGAGAGATATTGTCTTTGAAAAAAACGTGTTAAAAATATTTTCTTAGCTCTGGAGCAAGCAGTGTTGCATCCATGGAAGATGGGGCTGAGACCCCACGGAGCCCAAGGGCAGCACACAGAGCTGCTAGTGCTCTCCCAGCAGGAGAGGCCGAGCAGGGAGACGCGGTGCCGAGCACAGACGAGGCCGAGGGACCGGGTGCCTCCCCTGCCTCGCGCTGAGCACTAACAAAGCTCCCGGGTTCTCTGCTTGGTGACACGGGGCAAGGAGGGGACAAACTACCAGCAGTGGATGAGGACTGATGTGTGTGTGACTGATGCGTGTGTCCGTTCACCTTCCTTACTGAGCTTCCATGTCCGAAATGCTCCTCACTTGCTCCAGAGGAAACAGACCATCATTAGGACCATCTTTGATACAGCAAACTGATTCACCTGTTTTTGCAATCAAAATAAACTATCCTGGGTCAAATTCACCAAGACAATGCAGCTGCTTAGTAGCTCCTTGACAACACTGAACAACCGTAAATCCAGTTCAACTGGATGGTAAAAAGATTTGAAAATCGTTTGTATCAGCAAGTCAAAACAAGCAAGTCAATGAATCTGGTCCGTTAGGTTCTGAAGGCTGCAATTATCTGGTGAAAATAGCACTAATCATTTTAGTCTTATTTTTCTATCCTTTGTACCATTTGAAACCAACAAGAACAAAGATTTAAGCACACATTTAAGCAAATGTGTACTCACCCTCAAAATTCTGAAAACTTGAGAGATGTTCCAAAACTACAAGGAAACAAAAAGAAACAGATGTTGTAGTCAAAAATAAATAAATAAAATTTCAAAAAGACTAGAAACTATCATTATTACCATTATCTATTAAAATTATAAACAGGGCTTTACCTTCAGAAGTCAGATTAAATTCAGCAGTCACTTTCCCATAAATATTCTTCAGACAGCAATAATACATTCCCTGGTCTTTGCTACTAGCTTTAGCTATTGCCAAAGAGATGGGAGTGTCATCCTGGGCACTGGAACAGAAGATGTGAATTTTTCACATTAATGGTTTTAATATATCTTTCCTGATTATTCCATACATTTCTCCTTCTGGCCCTGGAATTTCTGCACATCACCGCAAATACTGACTTAAATGTGACATGAGTAGGAAGGTATTTTATTCCACTTCAATAATAAGTGTTGCACAACAGATGTTCCCACTACATCCTAAAAGAAAAATGTATCCATCAAATACACATAAGGATTATTAAATCACACCAAAAGGCATTCTAATATCCATATGAAAATCACAGGGAAATATGTAAGGTATGAAGAGATAAAAAAGTCTTGTGTGCTGTCCTCAGTTGTGACTAACCAATGTGTATTTTTCAATGTTGTTTTAATATGGCTGATTTGGTGTGTTGAGGGGTTACAACAATTCAAAGATGTATTCCGTAATTTCCTCTGATCACCAGCTGCTGAGGGCAGAGTTAAGACGTGCTGCACGGTCCAGCTGTGGATTTCGGTAGATGGACACCCCAGAATACATCCAAAGGAAGAAACGGTGCTTGGGGACACACCAGGCGACTAAGGCAGAGTTTGATCTTGATGGGCATGAGATTTAGAACAATTCCACTGAACTCTATGGAATCTTTTTGAAGTAAAAAATGCAAATAAGAATCTCTCTAAAACTTTGTTGATTATCTCATTTTAATTTCAACATTTGGAAATTTATTATATTAATTCCACAAATGGAAAATTCTAATATTTTGTTATCATATACTTTGTTATTATTGAAAGCTTTAATTTGGATGTTAAAACACTGCAAAAATACTTAGCAGAAATATATTCTTCTATGAGAGATATTATATAACTACCATCAAAATCAGTGTAGTCAAAACAGTAAGAATCAAAATGAAACAGGAATTCTAAACAGGTCATTTATTTCTTTCATTGAAAATATCATATTAACAGATGGCTTCCTAGAAAACTTTTTAATTCTAGTAGAATTGTGTTTACCATTGTATGAGATGGTTTGTACAATTTTTTTTAATTTTGGAAGAATTGTGTCTTCTGACAGAAATCATTTCCTTTTCTTTTGGATAAGATTAATATTGTACTTTAAAACATTATACACAGATTTTAAGAGATAAAAATGTTCTTCCATCTATGGAAGAAAGTAACTTTTGTTTCATAAAACTGGAGTTTAGAGAGCTTTTAAGGAAAGAGGAGGATTGCCACTCCTCAGTGGCAACTGCCACTGAGTTTAATTGGCCAGATTGAGGAGTGATTTCATTTTTCTTTAACTATCACTCCCTTTAGCTTAAATAGAGCTTAAAGCTCTGTTTGAAAGAGAACACAGAGCTCAGAGGAGTGATCATGTCAAGCTCCCCACCGCACACAAGTTGCTTTTACGAGGTCTCGGGCACTTACCTCTCCCACAGGGACAGCTTCCATGCACCAACCAGATGTGTTTATATTGTTTGGCCTGGGTGCTGGGGGTGAAACTTCACAGCATCTTTTACAGTACTTGACAGTTGGAAGAGGCTGGTTATGAATGGGCTGAAAGAAGCCCCGGGTGATAGAATGCCAACTATGCCCAATATTAAAGAACTGTGTGACAATATTCTTCTTAATTACCTTGTTTAAATTGATTTTCCCCAGTCATAATTAATTTATTTAACAGGTACAAGAGTGTACCACTGGCAAAATTAATATTTTCCCAAGAGCTATTCAGAAATTATCAGAAGGACCTTCAGAAACATCTACTCACCTTCTCTGCAGTCGAGCAAGCAACTTGGAATCCTTAGTCCAAGTAACGGTGGAGTCGCCATGGATGTCACCAAACTGGCAGCATAACTTAATGTTTCCAGAACAGTCAGGGAATAACTCTGCTTGTATCCTCTTCACCAGTTTGGGAGCTTGAAATGAAACAGCCACAGTTAAGGACTAAAAGATAATGATAGCATTTTGGCATTTTGGAGGAATCCCAGGATGGTTTACAAGTGTTAATAAATTGAACCTGACAATACTATTCTTCCTGATGCAGAAACCAAGGCTGTAAAATACGGAGGTCTTAAAAAATTGAGCCAGTGACTCACATGGTCAATGGAAATATTCCCAATGCAAAGGCATTTTGAATTTATGGAAGGAGACCCCATGGAAGATCTACTCTGGAAAAGCATCAGCGTAAAAACATTTCTTACTCAGAACATGTTTTCTCTGATTAATAGAGCGGTAGGTACTAAAGACACCATAAAGGCAGAGCATATTGTACAGTGACCCCACCAGACTTTCTAAGCTAATGACAGCATCCTGGCCTGCAGTTGCTACAGTCTAAGTAAGAATTTGCTCTACCTTCCTGAGAATTGACTCATACAGATCAGCAAAGGAGAAGTGTCTATTTCAGAAAGTATGAAAAGTTCACAAATATATCTGCCAGTGGGATCAGCCCTGTGGCACAGGGCAGTAGCTATTACACTCACTAGTTACTACGTTCACGGGAAATTGCCATCAGGGAAGGTAGGACGTTGCTGCTGACGTGATTTACATGGACGCACGCTTGCTTGTAGTGTGTTGGAAAATAGTTAATTAATTAATAGTGGGGAATTTAACAGTCTAGCCCAAAGGCTGGAAGGACCGGCGACGAGAACCAGCCGTCTCTTACCTTTGCTGTCCTTTCTGCAGAGCAGCCTCCTCTGCTCTTTCCTGTCTTCCCTCGGGGCCAGGCCCACCTCGCTCCTCGCGGGGCTCCCGCCGGCTCCTCCCTGGG